CAGGTGCTTCGCAGAGGGCTCCAGTCGTTCTGCCACAGGCTGGGCTTGTGCGTGAGCCGGCACCCCGTCTTCTTCCTCACCGTGCCCGCCGTCCTGACCATCACCTTCGGCCTCAGCGCGCTCAACCACTTCCAGCCCGAGGGCGACCTGGAGCGCCTGGTCGCTCCCAGCCACAGCCTGGCCAAGATCGAGCGCAGCCTGGCCAGCAGCCTGTTCCCCCTGGACCAGTCCAAAAGCCAGCTCTATTCGGACTTGCACACCCCCGGGAGGTATGGCAGGGTGATCCTGCTCGCCCCACCCGGGGATAATATTTTGCTTCAGGCTGAGGGGATCCTGCAGACCCACCGAACCGTGCTGGAAATGAAGGTGAACCACAAGGGCTATAATTATACTTTTTCCCATCTGTGTGTGTTGAGAAATCAGGATAAGAAATGCGTGCTGGATGATATTATTTCAGTGCTAGAGGATCTCAGGCAGGCTGCCGTCTCCAATAAGACAACAGCCAGGGTGCAAGTGAGGTATCCCAACACTAAATTAAAGGTATGCTCCTCCTGCATGCTTCTGCCAATTAAAGCGGCAGCACTTCATTTCTTGCCCTAAACAAGCAAAGAAAATGCAGAGGTCTCATCCTTTAAGACTCAGAAGCGGATGCTTCTTTCATTTTGGGGGTGGGGGGTGGGGTGGGGGAAAGATGGGCAACTGAGTGAAGAAAACAGGCAATGAATGAATGACTAGATATTAAGAAAATTCAAAGCCAAACAAAACAAATGCCAAAAATGAGGGGAAAACGAAAAAAAAAAAATTGTTTCTGAGACCCTGCAATTACATCTTTGTTCAGGGTTAATAAATCAGTGAATGGAAGGGGGCGGGGGAATCCTGAACAATTTGGGGGATTTCTTTTCGTTATGGGGCTCGATGTATTTCTTATTACTGATTACACATCCACTTGGTGCCATATCCACCTATTTGCATTCTCAGCCTGGCTTGATTTTCACATGCAGGGAGTTTATGTCTCAGTGCCCTGTGTGAGTCTGTGTCTGAGAGCAGTGGGTGTGAATGGAGTTGGGATTCCAGGAATTGTGTGTGTGTGTGTTTGCATAGCAAAAGAAGCAGAAATTTTCTCTGTGTGAAAATGTGCAGCTGACTGATGTACTGGTCTATGAGTCTTTCCTCCCGTTAAAATATCCAAACCAAAGCAAGGTTATTATAATAGCAAAAGGAAAGAAAAAAGTCCACAGTCAGCAAAAACTGCAAAGAATGGATATTTCAGCGCTAAATATATTGTGCTGTTTAAACGCTCAATTCGAATTTTGTTGCTCAAATGAGACTTCTGAACTCATCCTACACTGTCAGGATTGAGCTGCTGCAGGCAATGAGGCATGCAGTCTCCAGGTGACTGAAGTTTCAGGGACAAATGTGACTTCCAAAAGAGTCACTGCACCATTTGTATGCTCGACCCTCTGCAGGGTCAGAAGCTGCACAACCAAGGATTCCTAAGACAGGTGTTTCCCCAGAAGAAGGAATTTTCTTCTAATGTGTGTTAGGATGTGTGTGTGTGCTCCCCATGGGGATAATGGAATAGGAGGAACCCCAGTTTCAATAAATGGATGGCCTAAATATAGGAAATCACTAATATTTCTGTTTATCTGATACAGTGAGCATCTATACTCACAAAAAATAATTTTCTCAGGATTTTTGAGATCCAAAGGCTCTTTTTCCTGCATTGAATGAAGATTTAATGCACTTAGAAACTAGAGATTCCTCAGGAAACCTCATCACTTGCCTCCTTTTAACATGTCCTTATTTAAATGCATCTGGAGGCTGACAGCGTTTCAGCCCCTTGTTTGGTTGAACAGCCCCTTGAGGTTTAGTGAAAATGGACAGACGATTCATCAGCTTGAAATCTAGGTAAGGGCTTGTCTGCTTCACACTTATTGAAAGGAGCATGATGAATATATGTGGTTGGGCAGCATGCTGCTCGTTTCCTGAGTCCTTTACATAAGCACTATTGCTTGCTAAAGAAAAGGTTGTGGTGATTGATCTTCCCAGCCTATAGCCTTTTAACTGAGTTCTTTCCTATGCCGAACATCTGGTGTAAAGAAAGGTTTGAAACTGTGTTGTGTTTTAAACTTCAGTTTGTTTTCCCTCTTGAGGCTCGTTTGCGGTTTATTGATATGCATTATTATTTGGGTCCTTTATTTCCTTTATTCAGCGGTATTCTCTAGGTGTAAGAGCTTTGTCCAACCAGCCACTGTGGAAATTTTGTTTATCTGACAATATCATTATGACATTGTAGTATAGACCCCTGAGGCCTTTAATTCACTCGTTTAATTATCATTAGTTGTGCTCCTATGATTTACTAGGTGCTCCTCTCAACACATGAGACAGTTTGAGGCATGAAAATCAAAGTTCTTACCCTCATGGGGCTTAAAAGTAGTAGATGTCAGTGTTCTCACCCAGAGTTACCCTTAAGCAGGGACTCTGCAATTTTGGGGGCCACCATTGAACCAATACCATGCTAGGCCTATAATAGGGTCTCCGTCTAAACTTTTTACCTGATTGGTTGGTCGATCTGCATCTTGGTTGGAGTCAGTGGATAATCACAAAGCAATGGAGTAGTTGATTACGAAGGTCAGTGTAATAAGAGTAGAATTATTCCACTAGCGATAAAAAGAACTGAATTATATATTGGCTCTATAAACTGCATAGCCCTTATTCTGCTATATTCTAATGTCAATGTCTCCTCAAATGTGCTGGCTTGACTCCCTCTCCATGACATCAGTGGTGTCCTTAAGCTATGTTTGGGTAAATGAATCCTTTATGAATCTTCTGAGAACAATGGACCCTCTCAAGCATCCAGATGTAATCGCACACAAGCTAATGTAATATAAAATATAATTGGTTGAGGACCATGGACACTTAGAATCCTATCAAAGGACCTCAAATTACTTTCAGGTTAAGAACTCCCTGGCACAGAGCAAAGTGAGATGGCCTTTCGTTTCAATTTCATGTTATTTGGAAATAATTTTAACTCCTGTGTGGCAGTGATATTCAAAGAGTGTCCCTGAGATGCTGACGCAAGCTAAAGTTTGAGAACTTCTGGCGTATGAGACGAGGGAAATTTTTATAGGTACATTTTTTGGCCCTTGAATTCATTCTGCTTCCCTCTGTTATACTTGGATCACCAATCTTTCCAACTCTGGACAGTATGGAAAATTTTAGTGCTGGAAGATTCTGTTGGTGGGCAAAGAATGACAAGTGGAAGAAAAATGCAAATTAAACAGCAGTGGCTGGATAATATGAGCAGGAATTGGCAATCTCTTGACACCATACAGCTTAGAGATAGTCTGAAGATGTATAAATACTGATTGACAGAAAGGAGTGGTCAAAAACCTTACTTATGACAATCACAAGGGCATCTTCCAAATATTATTAAGACACCCAAGTAGTCCTGAGCACAGAAAGGTTTAGAACTTCTGATCAACATGACTATCTTGACAAGGTGATTCAGACAAGCAGGGACACAGAAAGTTGCTGGTATAGGATTCTAAACAGAGGCTCAGATAACACTGGCATGAAAAAAGCAGCAGTCAGCTTAAGATAATGCTACAATTCAAGAAATGAAACATATACACATTTTCAAAAGCTGTGTAGAAAAGGGTCCAAAATCTGAAATCCCTACACCTAGATAGTATGAACTCTATTATTGTTCCTATCATTATAATCTTTATGTTGTTATATCTCTGAATAGGCACACAGGCCATATCTTATATTCCTTCTGTGCTATTCACATTCCTTCAGCCCACCCTTGTCTTGTTCTTTGTAGATGGTGGTCACATCAATGATAAGTCTGTTGATTAATTTGTACACTTATACTGTAATATCACAAAATCAGCATCACTTTTTAAACCTCTGTGGCATGCTTTTGTTTTAAAGGCATTCTCTAGATTTTCCAGGTTTCTATAAAATATTTTTTACCCCAATAATTTGGAAGTCCTTTTTTCACCTATTAAAACACCCATTTTGTGTAAGTTGATACAATGTCGCCAGACTGAATTTTTTAGTTAAATACATAACGTATTGTTGAAACTAGTTTCTTGATTAAAATGAGACAGGCACTCAACATCATTAAGTAAGGAACAACTCTGGACTCCAAAATGTATTTTCATTGCAATTCAAGGGGCTCAGGTGGTTGCAAGTAATATTGTCCTACCTCTTAGGTAGGCCATCATGACCACACTTTCCATTCTTTATTTTGGCCACAGTAAAAAAACAAATAAAGAAGCAGACAAATGTGGTCCATGGCAAATGGTGAGAAAGGCATGGCATAGATTTGATTCCCCAGGAGCCTGTTCTTCCTATTAAAAATCCATTCATACCACACCTCTGGACACATGTTTAAGTGGAGTGTATGTGCATCAATGTTCCACATTTAACAATAGGAACAAAGAAACACTTCCTGCTTTTTAAACAAAATAAAATGTTTCTTTGGGTACATTTGGAATGCATCTTCCTGGTTTGGAAGATGTTGCCATTAGTTGTTGAGATTTTTATCTTAATGGAAGGGCAACTTGAGCCAACATGGAAATTGAAGACTAACGTTATTTTTAAAGACTGTAAGAATTATTCCATATACTTCTTTCCCTAATTCATTCTAAAACCTCATAAGACATCTATGTCAAGATCTTCTCTGGTATTTAGATTTAAGCTTACATTTTCTTTTCTATCTATTAATAGGGGAAACCATGACTACCTTACTTAATGCTCAGGTTGTGTCCTAAGTCAGTGTTTTATACATACCGTGTCATATTTACAAGTCTGGGCCAGAGGGAGTCCTTATTTACGTTTTAGAGGTAAGGAACTAAAGACCAGGAGGTTAAGTGGCTTCTAGGACCCCAAGGTTGTACACTTCGAAGCTGGGATTTTAATCTAGGTCTGTCTGGTACTAAACTTTATATTCCTAACCACAGTACTATGTTAGGTCCTAGTACCTCCTGCGCCATTCTTGGTAGCAACAGCCCTTTGTACTAAGAAAGAACAGGGCTGTAAATCCCAAGCCATGTGAAGTCCATGTAAAAGACCACGAGCGCTCTTTCGCAGCAGGCCCCATGCTCGGTCAGAGACACCAGTCCTGAGGATGAAGGGAGGCTTCACATCCCTTATCTTCCGTAAGGGCGTAAAACTTCCACTAGGTGTCTACTGTGAAAACTGCCACAAAGAGTTTAGCAAATTCCTCACTGGCACATGATTTCACCTTTAGTGTAAAATCGCATCAATTCAGAACAAACTCGAGTGAGGCTCCAGGATCAACTGAAAGTGGGAATCGTGTAATGTGACCCAAGGTTCTGAGCCAGGGACTTGTGTGC